CAAATTTCTGTAAGGGGTGACCACAGGTGACGTTTGTGCACTTTAACTTGATACCGCTTCTAGTATTTCACTTTATATTCTTTCAAATTGCCCTAATACTCCTTCTCTTTCTCTCTTTCCTAGGCGTTTGTTTCAGGATGGTAAGGCCATGTCCCATTTACCAGCTCTGCTTTACAGTGTAGTGTTTCCAGGGCTAAAAATACAGCAGCTCTTCTGCAGAGTACAGACAGACCCAAGCTGAACTCTCAGTTCCAAGTTAGACAGTTAAGTATTGCAAGTGGATTTCAAAGGGAAAATATTTGCTTCATGTTACTGTTATATTAAAATGGATTTTTAAAAGCTTGCAAAGGTGTTTCTTGTGTGTGTAGTATCTAAAGGTGGTGTTTTGATTACTTGTGATAAAACAGCCACAAGAGTGTTCTAACATGTTAATCTTTAGAAAGGTTAAATATTAAGGCCTTGTGATTAGTTTCTGAAACAATGTTTGAGGTTTATTTTAATGGCAATTATAGCACCATTAGGGAAGTTTACCAAGTTTCCCTGTCCCAGTGTGCTGCAGACATGCAGCCTGTGGCTCCTGTCCCAGCCTGGCATCTCCACCAGCTCTGAAAGTGCAGCAAGGTGTTTTGGCATTTCCCAGGAAAAAGAGGACACATCTCAAATAATAAGTTCTTTGGGAATACTTCATATGTAGTGTGAAATGGTGCAGGAATGAAATGGATGGAGGATTACAGTATAGGGTGTCTTGAATTTAATTCTATGAAGTGGAAAGTTTGTCTGCCCATTGTGTGGGAGGCAGGTGCAAGCTTGCTCTGCCTGGGTTTGAGCTGGTCTGGAGCCTTGTGAACACACCCCAGTGCCAATCCTGAGCTAATAAGGAGCTCAAAGTACTGAGAAAAGGGTTGTCAGCTGCATTCCCATGCTTTTGGACAAATTAGGATGGAGAAACTGCTCATAGTCAACTTGAAAAATACTCTTTGTAGCTATCAACACCTTTTCATTGGTTAAACTACCCCAAATTTGTTTTCATCTTTTGGAACATAGTCATATTGACCTGAAGTTTGGCTGCTGCCATTTGAATATTTGTCTGAAGAGACTGAAAATGCAGCATGCACTTTTACTATCTGTACTGGTTTAGGGTATTCCTGAACACGCTCTGAAATGTTTGGTGGCTATTGCTCATCCAAGTGTATTGAAAAGTTGGATCTTGCTGTCAGAGCCATCAGTCTGTTGTTCTCTAAGACACAAAACATGGGCCAAGTAGCCTTGTACCTTTTTAAACTGAAAAAACAAAACAGGAGGTACTGAACATAGTCATATTGACCTGAAGTTTGGCTGCTGCCATTTGAATATTTGTCTGAAGAGGCTGAAAATGCAGCGTGCACTTTTACTACCTGTACTGGTGTAGGGTGTTCCTGAACACACTCTGAAATGTTTGGTGGCTATTGCTCATCCAAGTGTATTGAAAAGTTGGATCTTGCTGTCAGAGCCATCAGCCTGATGTTCTCTAAGACACAAAACATGGGTCATGTACCTTTTTAAACTGAAAAAAACAAAACGGGAGGTACTTCCAATGTAAATAAATTTGCTAATAATTATCATGTATGGAACAAAAATTTCTTGTTTTTCTGCAAAGCAGACTGTTCCCTACTATTTGTTCAGAAAAAAACCCAAGCCTGTATTTCCTATGTACATGAAAGATGGAAGATTAGCAAGTTAAACCACAAAAAAAACCAACAGGGTATTTGGAAGTTCTTGATTTCATCCCAGAAGTGAATAGCTGGGAAACAACAGTTTGTTGTGGTATAGCAAAATGTTAGAAAATCAATATAATTAGATGATGACCTTTGCTGCCACTTGTTAGTGGTAATGCAGCAGCAGAATTTAAAGGGTAGAAGTCAGGTGGAAAGGATTTAAAATGAAACTGGAGAAAAGGAGCTACCAGGGGAGTATGTGTAGCCAATCTGACATCTTTAGATGCTGGTTGCTGAAGAGGCAAATGGGCAGTGATAGGAGCTACAGGAAGAAATACAGTGGGTACAAGGGGGTGGTGTGGGGTTAGCAGAGTCCTTTGTGAATAAACTGGTAGAAGTTCCTCCATATAAAGGGAGCAAGGGTTTGGATTCCATGTGAAATGGGAGGAACCCCTCACACCATCAAGGCTTCTGTGTGTGTGTACAGGATCAAGCAGAGAGGTAGATGAGTTTTGTTGTGAGCAGTGTGATGTCTTGGTGGGAGCCACCACGTGTGGAGGGTTTCTCTTGAAGAGAAGCATTGAGAGCTGTGCAGATGGAAGGGGAAGTTAACTCTTGTTTAGTTCTTGCTCAAAACTTGACTGCTTCTGCTGCAAATTCAGAGCTGATAGGAGTGTGTTAATGCTGGGGTATGATGAGCATATCTAAAGATGTATTTTTTTAAGTGTAGGTCTTAAAGGTATGAAAATGAAGGTGGGGCTTGAAGTGGTAGATGTGTGGTGTGTGTGCTGACACTGATTGTCTTCTTTCATTGTTTTCCAAATCAGTACACAGAAGAGGAAGCTAGGAAACTAGGAGTGGTTGGCTGGGTTAAAAATACCAGCCAAGGAACTGTAACAGGCCAAGTTCAGGGCCCAGAAGATAAAGTAAATGCAATGTAAGTATTCTTGTGTTTTTGGTTTTTTTTAGCCTTACTGAAGTAATTTACAGGAATGATTTTAACAAGTAGAGTCATATGTTAGTAATGTAACAGGCATTTTTATAATCTGTTTTGGTTTTGAGAAGTTGGAGGTAAATTCTTGTAAGCTGTAAAAGAAGACCTTAAGCTTTAAAAATAGTTTATAGCATCAGCCAGTTTTAGTTGCTAATGTCACAAAGTTTGTCAGTGCATTTCACCAACATGCTCTTGTGAAGTGAAGCAGCAGCCTTTATTCATCCATGTGAGCACAGACTTCTAATGGATTTGAGTTCTTCACAACATCTCTGTAAAGAAACAGGCTGAAGAACTTCTTGAAATGCTTGCTTAGCCTGTGGTTAAATCAGTGTAAAGGAAACTGGGCTTAAGTAGGGTTTTTTCCTCTGATTAAAAAGAAATAACAGTGTATTAACATTTCAGCCAAGGCCTGTAGTCTCTGCCATCTGGAAATAAGTTCTGAAATATCTTGGTGTCTTTAAAAGAGTGGGTATGATTTTTCTGTGTGAAATTGCCAATTTCCAAATGCTTGCAGCTCTCACTGAGGAAAAGCTGCCTGGGAAAACACAAAGCCCAGTTCAGTTACTTCCAACTATGATTTTTTTGTGTGTGTACAGGGAGATGAGGAGTTTAAAAAAACCTTTCTGTGGTTTGTTCTCTTGAGAAAGAGTGAGGGATGGTAAAACTGGCCTTGGTGAGCTTTATTAGGCATGGGCAAGTGTCAGTGCAGATCCTGCCAGCACTCTGGGATACAGGAATTGCTTCAAAACAGAACTTGAAGTGAAGCTGGCTTTTTGCAGAGGGAAGTGTTCTGCTTTCTGGGAAAGAGATTCCTGTGTGAGGTTGTGATGGAAGTATCTGCAGTCATTTCCCTTGGTCTAGAGCTCAGTGTTAGTTGGCTTATCTTGACCTGCAAAACATTTACAAACCCAGAGAAATAACAGTTGTGTCCTAGGTCAAGGTTATATTTGTATTCTGGAAGACCTTTGCTAATAGCCTGATGGAATGATTTTGTAAATTGAGTATCTTGGAGCCATCTCTGGTTAATTTAGAGCACCAAAAAATGAATCTGTGAGAAATCAGGATTAGGTTTCTCTTTGTTGGAGTACTTTTTAATTTAAAAATTTCTAGTTGATTGATTTATTAAGTAGGTTTAAGTGAAAGCACAGCTTAGCTGCTGAAACTTCTGGTATTTGCCAGAACTAGGAGTGCTGCAGAATGCAGAGGCTCTGTCCATCCTTTCCCCCTTTCCTCTTACCTGGGGATGGGATTTAAGGGAACCTGCATTTAGCCCAACACCAAAAAGTTGGTGTATGAGAGGGGATCTAACAGCAAAGCTGCAAAATTAGACCAACAAGGCTTGTTCTCAGTCTTGTGTTGCCATACAGACTGTTCCAAAAGGAACTAAAAGCTTTTAGTTCTCACTGTTATACAATTTTTAAGTAGGGTCATGAAACTGGCTCACAACAAAAATAGCTGAAGCTTTTGATGTGTGTCATTTGGTAGAGCAAATAAAGGGCTTTTGGGTTGCTGCTTCTTTGTTTCATTCTGGAAATCAATATTTTCCTCTGATGTGGAAATAACATTGCCCTGCTGCAGCTGGAGTAGGGTTTGAAGCACACGTTGAGATGTGGATTATTAAATTGGAGACCCTACAGGAGGGTGCTGAAGGAGAAACAGTTCACTTTGCCTTGCTCCCTCTGTGCCCTCTGACACATTGAAGAGGTAGTGAGTTTATTTTTAGCTTTCAGTTGGTGGACTTGTGCATAAGGGCTGTTGTATGTGAGCAGCCACTTGGGAAGGCCCAGATTTCTTCTGCTAGCAAGAGATCAAAATAGCTCTGAGGTTTTGAAGTTTTTTTTCCAGGATTTGCAGTATTTCTTGTCCTGCTCAGTCATGCTTCCTAGGGGTTCATAATGCTCTTAGAGATTCAAGGGTTATTTACAATGCTATATTAAATAAAATAAAATATTTGCTTTGCTATGGCACATTAACACAAACCAATAATCCTAAAGGTGCAGACATCTGTGTACAAACTGTGATAACTGGGAGCAAATTCTGGCACCATCTTCCAGCAGATACAAACCAGAGCTTGCATAGATATTCAGAATTGAAGACACTACCTATGGAGGACACTTCTTAAAAATTTTGGACATTTCTTCTGTTCCAAGAAATGGAACACTTCTCAAATGTGGTACACAGCTCAATATTGAGGTGTTTTAAGAAGGGCTCCTGGTGGGTGCTGCTGCAGGTACTGGAACAAGGTGTTACCTTGTGGAGGTCTCTCAGGAGTAGTTTGTGGAAGATCTTTTTGGATGTGTACACACTTGCATGAGTTTCAGAGTTAAGTTTTAGGCACAAACCAGCCTGATTTTCAGGGTTGCACCACTTGGATTTTTAAAAATAGAATATTAATGGTAATCAAATGATTTGTCAGTTTTATTGGTTCTGGTTTGTTATTGGTAGTATTTTTTAGGGGTGTGGCAAAGGGGTGTCCTTTTGGCCTGTCACAAACAGCTTCTCTTCTCAGTGATGTTAAACAGAACCTAGAACATAGACTGAAAAGAGTAGGGATGCCATAAAGGAACAGGTAAATAGAAAGGGCAAGAGGAGAGGGAAGAAAGGAGGGAAATAAGTGTTTGAGAGGAGGATGGAGATGGGGAGAGAGTAAAAAATGTGGTGAGAGACACCACGTGGCAGTGAGGAGAAGCACAGAGTGGGTAACAAAGCTTGCCTCTGTCCTGGAGCAGCAGTGCAGCAGAGCTCTAACCCAGAGGTTCTCCAGCAGCACTCCTTTGCTCCTCATTTTCTGATGTTTTATTCTGTTCTGTATCCCTGCTTGTGTTGGGGCACAGCTAGCACCAGTCCAGTACTGGCCTGAGAAACAATGCTTTGGTGTGGGGTTTTTGTGATGCAGGCTGTGGGGCACAGTACAGTCTGGGGGGAGTTGTGAGGACAGTCTGGGGGATCTACTTCCAGCATTATTTTAATGCATGTGTGGGGCCTAGGTGCTAAGTGACCAGAACCAGAATAAAGTGGGGAAAATAAGGTGTAAACCTGGATAGTTGTGGGTGGGGACAGTCACACCTCTATGTCAAGGTCTCTAGTGAAGTGAGAGTGTGTTAGAGAAGATGATGCAAATCAGTTGGCCTGGTAACTGATGATCTTTGGAGAATGTTGGGGAGTCCAATCCAGGCTCTGTGTTATGGCTGAGGGATGGGGTGCAGGGAGGCACCAGAGGCTACAGATCTCCTGCTGCAGGTACAGCACAGAGGAACATGTGCCAAAGATAGGAATGAGCAGGATTTTTTGTTATTTTCATGTCCAGATTTGTCTTCTGCTTGTTTTTAATGAAACTTCTGCATTCTCAGAGATTGTGACTTAGTCTGTTTTGAAGCCATTTTTCACTGTAATTGGGAGATCTTGCAGACCAGTTCAGAGGGTATTTTTAAGTTGTCCTGGCAACCTATTACCTGTAAGCTTCCTTTGCTATTCCTTGTTTTTCCACCTCTAGATGGAGCTGTGTGCTCTAGAAATGCTCTCAACTCGATCGACTGCTTCTGAAGTAAACCTATTTTTAGACTGTTGTGGTAGGATCCATCTTTTTTTTCACTATCTCTTTCCCCTACTGTGTTTCATAGTCCTGCTCTGTTTGCTGCTGCTGCTACAAATAGACAACACCCCTTACCCTTGGATGCTAAAAGCTCATTTTCAGTCTTTTCCCTGTCTGTAAGCCAGAGAAGGCTGAATTTGGAAGAAAAGCAGAGCTGCAGTGTTTCTCAAACATAATGACATAAGGCTTTATGGTAATCCAAAGGCTTTTTTTTGCCAGATAGGGTTAAATGAGTTAGAGGTAGTCCTTTGATTTCATTTTTCTTCAGGAAGACTTATAATATGAGTTTTTTCAACATAGTAGCTTGTGATATTTTCCCATTTTAGTCATTAAAGGTGGTTAGAGCCTTTGTAGCCATTGTGCTTGTTGCCATAGTAACTTGCCTTGGCAGGCTAGAAATCACTTTTCTATGAGAATTTTTTGAACTTTGATGACAATTACCCACTCCAAAAGGAAGATAAGAGTCTTGTAGATTGCCAAGTCCAGAATTTATTCTGAAAATAGTAGATTTCAGACTGACACTTTAAAATGTAGTATCTTGGGGCATTTTTTAGAGAGCTGTAACACTATATTAAGTATTATTCTCTTTGTAGAAAGGCATGATATTAAATACAGATTGCTTGTCTTGGAAATTGTTTTTAATTATTAACTTAATGTTAATTTCATTTGAATGTTTCAATTTTTTTAAGATTAATGTCAGTTAAGGTGAATACTGAACTGACATTAATCTTAAAAAAATTGAAACATTCAAATGAAATTAACATTAAGTTAATAATTAAAATGTTTCAATTTTTTTAAGATTAGTGTCAGTTAAGATGAATACTGTCAGTTAAGAAGGAGATGGTTAGACCCTCTTCATACAAGTGCTTCTAAAACACTTTAGGTTGTGAGAAACTCTTACCATTGTTCAAAGATGAATCCAGGTCTCAAAACAGGCTTGAAATTCCTAGGTATGTTTTCAAGGGTTGTATTTATTAAAAAGTTGTAAAAACTTATTATGGGAATGGTTTAATTGCTAATTGCATGAACACATTGACTGGAATTCCACTGTCTCTTATCTGATCATGGAAGGTGTAGGCCAAGGTGAGCATCAGCATTGTGCCTAGAAAAGCAAAACCAAAGCTGCAGCTGTTGTGTTTGAGGTGGAGCTTGCAGAGAACACTGGTCATTATATGCTTCAGGGTTCAGAAAACATGAAGAACTTTGTGAGAACTAATACTTTTTGCCATGCTTTTCTGTAACTTCCTGCAGAAATACCAGTCCTCTGAAGCAGAGCATCTGGTGCTTGTCTTCTCTGGTCAGTGAGGCAGCTCTGTGCCATAATGGCATGGCTGGAATATGTCCTGGGTGC